TTGAATATTGAGTATTTCAAGCCTTTTCACGACGAAGATGGAGTTCTTTTTGGAGATGGACGTCGCGGCAAAGGACATGGTGTCCGACTTCTAGCGTCTGGTGAAGCCAGGGATCTATTTGTCCAGTCAGGTCGCCAGCCTAACCGTCGGTAAGCTTGTGTCTGGATCCCGTTCTGCTCGATGTGTTAGATCACAAACAATTTGATATCGCACAAATTGATCTCAGCATCGTGCGTACAGTATTTTACATTCAGAAAATCCCAAAGTGTCTCTGTGTGGCCGTCCTATGCCACGAGAAACTCCAATCAGGCTCCTATATCCTCTGCCTTCATGATTGAATGTCCACTTCGTTTGAACAATGAACACAACAATCGAGGACGGCTTTGCAATGAAAAATACAGCTATACTGGAGCTGAAAAAACGAAGAAAAAAACGTGCTCAGGGTGAGACTCGAGTACACGCATACTCTCCCAGGAGGTGAAACGCAATTTTTTGTGGAAAATGCGTGTCGCCGACTGACCAGTACTTTCGCCTGACGCATCACGAGTGACAGCCACTGCTAAGCCGCTTACCATGCACGCCACTACCTGTGAAGGATATCTCATCCCAGTGCTGTGAGCCTACTGTATATTTGTACATAAAGTATTGTGTTATTTCCTTCCTATGGAGCATTCTGTAAATAACGCGGCTATACTCTTGATTATGACAATACGGTGCCTAATATGGTAACATTGGTAACCATGGCAACATTTTAACATAGTTTTTTTGGATTCAGCTGAACGATTCTATTCAGAAAAACACAACTTGTAACTACAAATTCTCAAAAACTGTGGAGTTACAGAGGATTATTGTCGGAATGGAAAATTTGATCATTTTCTCCAAAACCAGTGGACCTTTGAGGACGAAGGACGAATATATACGTTTTTAAGGTATAGCTGGATTCCTAAAGACGAGTATATCCGTTCTTGAGAAAATTGCGATATCGATATATTTTTAGGTGTTTGAAGTCGCTCATATGTTGCTCAGACGAGTACGATCTGATTCTTCATCAAGGTGAGACGTGTCGCAGTCGATCCGCGTTGGTCCCATGGAGAACCAGTCACATTTGAGTATACTCAGAGAATGCGCCGATCGAGAAATTATTGGCGAAATCTGTGCAGGAGCATACTAGAAAACTGAAAACTTTAGTAGAAGATCGCAAAAAACACGTATTTTGAATTGACCATTCTGACCTCTAAATTGGATATAAGATGTAGATTTGTTGGTTTTTGTTGCCCACTCATGGCAATGTCTTTTTCGAACCAAACTTAAAATGAGCCCCAGCCAGCAGAAACCTGAACATGTGTAATTTTTTCAAAAATTATTTTTTCCCTCGAAATTGTTTCTACACTATTAATCATTCAAGTTATCAAGTTTGGTGACAATCTGATAAGCGAAAGCATGAAAAATAGAGTTTGAAGTCACATAGGTCAAGATTCGGTACAGTTGGCGCAGCATCCATGCCTAGTGACTCCATGCAAGTTAATCCTACAGTTTCTGATTGTGATGTGGAACAGGTACATGTAAGTAAATAGAATGCAAGTCAGGCTTGCCCTCTTGGTGCTGCAGGCATGAGTAGTTCAGAAGTGTGACGATATTCCGTATACATCACTGCCTTCTTTACAACACCAGAGCGCAAAACGATGATTGGTGGCTGGCCTTCCAAATTGTGTTCAGGGACTCTGTGCCGGCAGTTTGAGCATTGTCCCAAAGCTTGCCATACTGATAGATGTACTGACCAATACCACTGACATCCACTCCCTTGCACACTTTCACTCAGACCATGATTTCAGCATAATTGTATTTCATTGATATGAGCGAATACTCGCGTTATGTAGCACGTGAAGATGTTGCACCAAAGCGTTCAGCCGGTTTGAGTTTTTAGGAATCCCCTTTCTCACCACAGGCAGCAGCCAGCTTGGCGTCGTCTGGCAAGGTAGAGTACTGATAATACGACGCTCAGATTTGCGCCGTGAGAAGCCCTCCATCAGTGTCTGCAACATCATTGTTGTCGATGTAGAAATACGGATCGCTGAGCGGGTCGACATTCAGCTTCTCCTCGCAGTCGCTATTACTCCAGCACTGACTAACGTCGCCACCAGTATCCAGTGTCGATTTTATGAGGGCTCTTCGTTGCTATGCATATGAGACTCGCCACTGCTGGACAAACCCAGCGAGATCGCCACCAAAGAAATAATTCCGATCGCGAACTAACTTTCAGCGCCGCTTCGTACAGGGAGTCTCACGCAGACAAGTAACTCCTAAGTCTTTGTCGCGACACCTGTCGCCATCGCTGTGTCTAAACTCAACCTCCGTGTGACGAGCTCTCACCTAGCGCTAAAATCAATTGACCAGAGAAATTTGAAGACACTTGAAACTCCTTTGACAACAAAGACACCCACTTGATCGAAAAAGAATCTTCAAAAGCCAGCTCACTGCGCGTCCCAAACTTTGACGTCACATTTTGATGATTGATATCAAGTACACAAGTGCTGGTTTTCGCTGGCCGGGGCTCAAATATCAATTTTGAAAAATCCCGATTTTTGGAGAAAATTGCAACATACACCAGTCCTATTTTGAATTGACCATTCTGACCTCTATAATGGATATATGATGTAGAAACTTAGGTTTTTGTTGCCTATTGATGTCTATGTCTCTTTAGAACCAAATTTTATGAACCTAGATCAATTTTTGAAAATACCGATTTTCGCCTGAAAATGGTAGGAATCCAGGTGGTTTGGGGTAGTCGTCAAAGGGTTAATTAAGGTAGCTCGATAGGAAATCAAAAACTCGTCTTCTGCGCATCTTTCTGCGCATCACGTGTCTTCGTTTAGCGTCAGGATATCGTCAGTTTTCCTTCCACTTCTGAGGGAGCTGATCCTTTGCTGATGACGGACAGCAAGGTGAGTATACCGGCGTCGGATATCGGATCCACGCAAAGTGTTAGTAGGAAATCGGCCGGCAGATCGGTCACTAAACCCAGATCTGTTGCCAGAAGTTGTAGTTATCAGAAGGCATGATGTTCACTTCCATCAAGACCTTTATGTCCCGATTCGATCAGGCATCCGGGAGTCTGTCAAGCAGACCGATCCGTCGATAATGATTGGGACTTTATGTTCGAGGGGGAAGATGAGTCCAGCCCAGACAAGACGCCATGTCTGGCAGATTATGTGACTGCAACTACAAATAGCAGAGAATACAGCGACGTTTGCCACCTTCAAAGCGTTACTCAGGCAGCCCTCGAATTGCACCACCCTGGTTACGGCTATGATGACGACAACAAGAAACGACGGAACAAAGGTCCGGTCGCTTGGAGATGCGCAAACTTCGTGACAGGATGTGTCGAAAGCAAACACACTGAGTGTTCGGGTTGTTGTTGTTGTTGTTGTTGTTTGTTGTTTGTATATTTAGAGTCGAAGAACAAACAGGCAAATTAGCCTGATCACATGATATCGACTAAAAAGGAGAATAAAGTATAGAAGGCCAGTGAAGGTAATGATACTGAATAGAGTAGGTTATAAAGTTTTAAAAAGCCAGTTAGGCCAGTAAAGGAAATGATAATACAGCGGGTAGTGGCATTACTGAAAAGCAGCATGTCCTGTGAGGGATGGTGCTGAGTCGAATAGTCTTTGTCCGAGGAAGCTGAGACTCTCCCTTCATACTTTGTTCCCAATCCAACTTGCGCACTTCCACCGGAACTGGGTGACTGCGCCGTACTGGACGGCGATTTGTATGCAAAATGTCACTAAAAGCGCCATTTCGCTCTTCTAAAAGCACGAATGACGGCGATTGGCCCATATGTTGTAGTCTTCTGGACACTGATTCGACTGGTTTTGGTCCGAAAAGGCGGCGATACAGCGTTCAGCTCTTATTCCTAATCGAACATGGCTGAGCAAGCGATCACGTGCTCGTGCGTACACCAGTCACCTGGTCACCGTGCCTGCGGGCTACAACTTACAGCATGTTTGGTCGAGTTTACGTCACTCGAGTCGAACCTTTGAACCTTTGAGTTGAACCTTGGTGTGAAAGTTGTCGCCTGCTGGCACGGTGACCAGGTGACTGGTGTGCGCACGAGCACGTGATCGCTTGTTCAGCCATGTTCGATCGGGAATAAGGGCCGAATAGTACATAGCCGCTTTTTTGGACAAAAACCAATCGACTCAGCATCCCAAAGACTAGAACATATGGGCCAATCGCGGTCATTCGTGCTTTTATAAGAACGAAATGGCGTTTTAGTGACATTTTGCATACAAATCGCTATCTAGTAGGGTGCAGTCACCCGGTTTCGGTGGAAGTGTGCGAGTTCGATTGGGAATAAAGGAGAAGGGGAACGTCGCAGCTTCCTCGGACCAAGACCATTCGACTCAGCACCCCGAAGATTGCTGAGTACGAGTTAACTCGCGCTTTATTCATGACCTGATCCACTACGTACGAGTTAACTCGCAAAAACATTCGCGCGATATATAAGAGGAACACAGAAATCACGGCCCAGAGTGAAGACAAATTTGTTTGTGCATGACTTCATTTTGTTGGGGAGTGTGCCAGGGGATTTCCCTTTGGCACGGCGCATGCGTGATGGACGTCAAATGAAGCGCTTGGATCTCAGCTTTACAGCGCAGTTTGAATTGGGAACATCGGTTGAATTTGGGCAAGAAGCCGAACAAGAATGTGAAATTGAGTTGTTGTGCCGTTCCGGGGCACGGTAGAGTAGTTTGGAGAGGACGTGGAAGTGTCCCTGATGTGTCTATGGAGCTGAGACCTGCCAGTATGGATTCGCTTAGTCCTGATCTTTCCAACGAGCCAAGGACGATGAAAATCCATGAAGGTGGAGTGAAATGAGAATAAATTTCATTCGGAGCTGTGCGTGCATACTCCACCAAGAGAGCCAGTGCGCTGCAAAGCCAGTGGATTGGAGAAAAGGGGCTCAGCATGCAAAGGGTTAAAACATTAGAAATACTCACGGATACAAGGATTCGTAAGCGTCGGTGTCCAATTACCATCAGTGCCACAAGATATGGCCTGTGCTGTAGTAGTATCAGCTGTATATCCAGTATCACACATCACCGTGAGTTTACTTCCAACTGTTGTTGGACTTCCAGTTGGGAATGTGCCATGAGGAATATTGCCTGGCGGTGATCCACAGTCCCCTGTGTGTGCAGCAGATTAGAAATACAAAAATATTGATTAGTTACATATTATGTAGAAAGGAAAAGGACATATGGATACGAGTTAAGAGGAACTCTCCATCACTGTAACTGGATACTATAGAAAGTGAGTTGCCTTCCCCTCTTTGGTCTTTCCATAACCTTGAACCTTCCAAGTTGGAAGGCTTTCGGTTAGTGCTACGGAGATGTGTTGAAGCTAGGTGTCAGGACGTCGAATGTCTCAGTACTCTGTCAGTTTTGTGCCTAGTTATTGCACTTTCTGAGTTACTCTTAACTAACTCGTATCCATATGTCCTTTTCCTTTCAATTTCCAGCTCCGAACTAAATTTATTCTCATTTCACTCCACCTTGATGGATTTTTATCATCCTGGGCTAGTTGGAAAGATCAGGACCAAGCGGATCCATCCTGGCAGCTCTAAGCTCCATAGACACATCAAGGCCACTTCCACGACCTCTCCAAACTACTCCACCGTGCCTCGGAATGGCACACCAACTCAATTTCACATTTTTGCTCGGCTTCTTGCCCAAATTCAACCGATTTTTACAATTCAAACTGCGCTGGAAAGCTGAGATCCAAGCGCTTCATTTGATACACATCACACATGCGCCGTGCCAAAGGTAAAACCCTGGCACGCTCCTCAACAAAAAGAAGTTATGAACAAAAAATTCGCGTTCTCTGTGGTCCGTGATTTCCGTGTTCATCTTGTTGCCGCTCAATGAATTCTTATCCTATCGCGAAGAACTTTATATATCTGGACAGATGAGGTCAAGACCTTTCCAAAAGTGTATTGACTGTCGCGATGCGTGTCTTTGTGGTACACTCTCACAACACCAACACACAGAAGTCTCTGCTGAGAGCACGGTGGCTCGGCAATGGCCTTTATTTAGAATTTTTTCCCTTTTTTTTCTTTTTATCTTTCCTATAATTATTTGTACATTTACAAAAATATATCAACGATGGATACAGCAGTCAATCAAAAAATGCTGATAATTACACAGCACACAACACGCCAACAACGGCATAACAATAGGGAAATGTAAAAGCGCACACCTCAGAAACGCAAGAGAACACCCTTGCACATCATCTTCACACCGGCACACCACACAGGTCATCATCCAGCTTCAGTTAACACAATGCCTTGATGACCCCTGAAAATCCCAACTCTTCAATTCAATCTTGCAATTCAATCTTGCATTCTGCCCCATGCCAATTCATCCCCTGTCAATAACCCTCTGAAGCTGAATGTAACCATACAACAGCCCACGACGCGCACACCACCCCTAAAGTTTTTCTAAAAGACCAACAAAGAAAAACACCGCAGTCGTAACTGCCCTAGGCAAAAACACACACATCAACACAATGTCTATAAACACCCTTCAGTCCGGGGTGGGAGGGCGGGAACAAACTAAACGGAAGAAAGGCCGCTGCGAAGTGACGGAAATGCGGTCAAGGACCGCATCTTGTCGGTACCACATTCTGTGGAATGAAATCCAAAATCGGAGCGATTTTGCAGCGTCTTAGCGCAAGTTGTTTCGAGTTATCCACAAAGACACAAGCTTTCCAACTCTCTTCGGCCGTCGGAAAGCGTACCGTATGTTTAACGAAGTTCCGAAAGTTTGTACACTGGTCTATGCACTGCGATATATGGCGCGAATATTTTGCCAGTTAACTCGTACGTAGTGGATCAGGTCATGCATAAAGCGCGATTTAACTCGTACTCAGCACGCAAAGGGTTAATTGATGCAAGACACTATGCTTTATGTGTTTCTTGGGCATGTGTCCTTAAAACATTAGAAATACTCACGGATACAAGGATTCGTAAGCGTCGGTGTCCAATTACCATCAGTGCCACAAGATATGGCCTGTGCTGTAGTAGTATCAGCTGTATATCCAGTATCACACATCACCGTGAGTTTACTTCCAACTGTTGTTGGACTTCCAGTTGGGAATGTACCATGAGGAATATTGCCTGGTGGTAATCCACAGTCCCCTGTGTGTGCAGCGGATTAGAAATACAAAAATCATGATTAGTTACATATTATTTACCCCTTTATGCACGGAAAAAAATGTACCCACACTGAACTGTTTGATCTCGACTCGCATCAAATTCCATAATTCTCAGGGTCATAACTTTGGTCTCCTTTTGACGCTTTTTTCAGCCTTGGGCTTCCTGAAAAGCTCGTTTAAAAAGGAACACATTGAGCCCACGTTTGCCACCACTAAGGTCATAATGCTATCGTTACAGCTCAGAATCTTAGCTATTTTATTTATTTATTAAACTTTATTAATTTATTTCTGCCTTTCGTAGCATGTCAAGACGGCCAATTCAATTGAGGATAGGGCGAGACCAACCACGAAAGAAGAGAAAAAAGAAAGAAAAGAAGCAAGTCCACAAAACGGGTAGGGATTAGCAAGTTACAAAACAATGGGATGCCCAGCGAGCTATGCAGCGGAAGTGGTGACTGACATTTTGCTCACTGGAAGATACTGAAGTGCTGTCTGACGAGGGTACGGAATTTGGGCATATCTGGGGCTTGCCTAACACTGGGAGGCAGTTGGAGCTACGTAGAGTAGGAGGAAAAGAATGGTGAATTTACGAATAGGGTAGACCTAGCTAGGGGAGACAAACGCGGCTTCGGGTGGTACCACCCAACTTAAACTGATTAACCCTTTGTGCGCTCAACGAGCGATTTCGCTCGTTTCCAATGCGCGTCACATTTTTGATCGTCACGCTTGACTAGTTTACCGCATCGCGCAGAGACACTTAGCACCGCGTAGCTGAGAAGATTTCCGTGACATAGGTACTACACATGACGTAGGTCGCCACTAAGAATTTTCTTGATGGCACGCTTTGAAATTGATTTTGCGATGTCAAAATTAGAATTTTGACTTCTCGCTCCACATTATACTGGCATACACAGAGACATAGACAGCAATAGCGACAACACACAAAGTGAAGGATAGTTGGCCGCAGCCAGATGAAGGGTAGTTGGGCGCAGCCAGATGTGAACCGGATAACGAGTGAGGTATGGAAGCAAGGACTGAGAACAGAGTGTCTCAGATAGAATAGGCGTGCCAGTGGATAGCAGGAATAGGCCATGATGCAGAACCACTTGGGACCGTCAGATTAATTTTCCTGGACCGAACCCGCCGGGAAAAACCCTCGCGCTGACGGCCGCATTTGCGCATTTGTGAGGGAAAAAACCGGGTGTATATCCCCAATGGTGATTAGGCATCATGTAGGCATGACAAACACATCACAGCAAACACCGGGTATAAAGCAATGATAATCAGGGGCGTACACCGCTCGCCTCCAGGAGTGGTTCCCATGCCAACTGATCAACCAATATCCCGCAGCTGGTGCTCTTATACGTATCGCAAGCAGAAGCCACCATGGCACGCCGGTCAAAAGACTACCCAGGGAAACTTCTCCAACCAGTATAGTTGAAAGCGGCGCTGTTTGCCATCCTTCTGGACACGCACAGGAAACTAAATCCTTCGCCTTCAGTGGCGCACAATGATTGTCGATGATGGAAATCTTTTCCATGTCCGGCAAATTTTGGTGGAATCAGGGATTCCACTGTGGACGTACACTTTCAGAATATCCTTTCCAACACACTCCAATGTCACTGAAGTAAGTATTGGATGATCCAGCACCTTCCAAGAACGGTCGCTCTACAGCTTCGCCGACGATTCCGTCCTCTGTGCTGCTCGTTGCAGACTCAACTTGCAAGTCAGGTGCGTCTGCAATCCCATCTATGGCTTGACCTTCCTCACTGGCTACATGCTTTGCCTCCTGCTCAAAATAGCTCTGAATAGAGCGCTGGCCCTCTGGATGTCGATTCTTCTTTTTTCTTTTCCACAAAGCGAAAGCATCGTCAAAAATGTAACCAACTTTGTCGAAACAAACTTCAAAGGAAATGACTCTGAGATCGAAGAATCGATGTAACTCGTATGTAGAGACTTTGTTGCACCCCGTTAGTTCAGTAGATCTACGCTGTGTCACAAAAATGCCCCAGCAGCACTTTTACACCTGGCCTACAATTATAGTCACCCTCGGGCCTCCTCCTCGGACCGTGAGGCGGGCTGCAGGCGCCTAGGCATGCATCAGGGAGTCGTAAAAAGTCTTTTACGACTCCCTGGTATGCATGCACTGCACTGCACGCTGGGCCTGGATCAAAACATTCTCCGTACCCACATTGAAATTTCCGGGCATCCCGGGAACCGCCCTATGTATGCCCCTGATAATATGCACAGAAATGAATGGTGGGAGGGCAGGGACACTGGTGAGACTCACAACTGACTGAAGAAGTCAGGAAAAGAAGCGACAACAAAGAACACACCAGATGCCATAATTTGCAACTGAAATTTTTTCGCGAGAAATCATTTCTCTTTTCCAGCGATGGATGCAGACGAGGCTCTTCGCCAAATACAAGACGCGGACCAAGCAGATTTCCAAGTAGAGGATATCGCTTGCTCTTCAGGCGACGAGGTAGGAGACTCGGATAACGATTTATTTCGTTTGACAGGGAAGATCGCTTGAAGGACGATCTCTTTTCTGATTTGGAGGAAATAGGATCCGATTCGGCTGACAATATCGCTATTCCTGTTCCCGTTGCTGCTCGTGGACGTGGCGCTGGATGAGACAGAGGACAAGCAGTAGGTGTCGCCGCTGGTGGAAGAGGGCGAGGACGTGGAGCTGCGACAGGGCAAGGACGTGGAGCTACAAGAGGGCGAGGACGCGGAGCTGCAAGAGGGCGAGGACAAGGACGTGGTAGACAGTACAAAAGTTGTAGTGGCTATGATGATGTTGACCAGCTTCAAACCAATACACCTGAGTTCAACATAACCGGGACTGGTTTGAACCTACCTGATAATTTCGCTCCAACATGTGAACTTGATTTCTTCAAACTATATTTCACAGACGAAGTTGTGGATTCAATTGTCAAGTTTACAAATTTGTATGCGCACGAGCATGTCGCTGAAAAAAAGACATACTAGACGGATGGTGTGTGGAAGGAGACCGACCGTGATGAGGTCTATAGGCTCCTTCCATTTATTTTCTTCCAGGGATTTCATCCTCTGCCTGCGACGAGGGACTACTGGCGCGTTACATCGTCGTACAACGGAAATTATGCACGCTGCATGATTCGAACCTACCGGAGGTACTTAGCGCTGATGTGCTTCCTCAAGGTCGTGGACTTCAGGACAGAGGATGTAAATGATCGGCTTCGTAAAGTGCGATACCTTCACGACCATGTGCAGGCAGCCTGCAAGCGTTTGTTCATCCCTGGCAACTGCGTTAGAGTTGACGAGCGCATGGTCAAGTGCAAGGGAAGCGCTCTTTTTCCGCAGTTTATGCCCAAAAACCCCGTCAAATGGGGCTTCAAGGTCTTCGCTGCCTGCGACACCCAAAGCCCCATTGCTGTAAACTTTGAAGTTTACACAGGCCAGCAACCTGGAGGTGAAAATGGCCTGACTCATGCTGTGGTGATGCGGCTTGTCAGTGACGTGCGTGCCAGAAGTGTGATCTACACGGACAATTTTTACACTTCCGAAACCCTGGCCACATCTCTTCGTACCAAGCAAATGTCGTTGGTTGGCACCATCCGCGCGAACCGCACTGGATTTCCAGCCGTATTGCGGACCGACATGAAACAGTTCGAGAAACATGCAGAGCGAGGTGCAACACGCTATGTTCGCAACGGAGATCACCTGTACCAGCAATGGAAGGACAAGCGGTGTGTGTCAATGTACAGCAACATACATCAGGGCCATGAGCATGACACAGTAACAAGAAATGTCAAGATTGATAGTGCACACCAGCAAATGGAAGTGCAGAGGCCAGTGTGCATCAGAGACTGCAACAGCAGCATGGGTGGAGTCGGCACTTTCGATCAGCTGATCGAAACGCACCGTGTGCTTCGCAAAACGAAGAAATACTGGAAGAGTATCTTCTTGGATATGGTCGACATGTGCGCTGTCAATGCATACCACCTCTTTCACTTGTGGCAGAGCCAGCATCTAGGGGTGATAACTCGATGATGCAACTTGCAGCACTCGGATTTCCGCTGTAACCTCATCCGGCAGCTGTCATCGATTGATGAGCATGCACCGCCACCAAAGCGCTCGTATCGCCCAGTGCCTGTTCCACAGGATGTCCAGGTTACTGTTGCTCGGCTTCACATACCTGGAGTGAGGAAAGGAAGAACTGCAGAAACTGCACAGAAGTGGGTAACAAGCAGCGCCAAGTGTGCAACCTAATGCACTACGTGCGATGTTCACCTCAACATCACGAGTGACCGCGACTGCTAAGCCGCTTTCCATGCACGCCACTACCTGTGAAGGATGTCTCATCCCAGTGCTGTGAGCCTACTGTATATTTGTACATAAAGTATTGTTTTATTTCCTTCCTATGGAGCATTCTGAAAATAACGCGGCTATACTCTTGATAATGACAATACGGTGCCTAATATGGTAACATTGGTAACCATGGCAACATTTTAACATACTTTTTTTGGATTCAGCTGAACGATTCCATTCAGAAAAACACAACTTGTAACTACAAATTCTCAAAAACTGTGGAGTTACAGAGGATTATTGTCGGAATGGAAATTTGATCATGTTCTCCAAAACCAGTGGACTCACAAAGGGTTAAGGTAGCTCGATAGGAAATCAAAAACTCCTCTTCTGCGCATCTTTCTGCGCATCATGTGTCTTCGTTTAGCGTTGGAATATCTTCAGTTTTCCTTCCACTTCTGAGGGAGCTGATCCTGTGCTGGTGATGGACAGCGAGGTGAGTATACCGGCGGCAGATATCGGATCCATGTCAAGTGTTAGTAGGAAATCGCCCGCCAGATCGGTCACTAAACCCAGATCTGTTTTGCTAGAGCGTTTCCAGAAGTTGGAGTTATCAGAAGGCCAGATGTTCACTTCCATAAAGACCTTTATGTCCCGATTCGATCAGGCGTCCGGGAGTCTGTCAAGCAGACCGATCCGTCAATAATGATTGGGACTTTATGTTCGAGGGGGAAGATGAGTCCAGCCCAGAGGAAATGCCATGTCTGGCAGATTATGTGACTGCAACTACAAATAGCAGAGAATACAGCGAAGTTTGCCACGTTCGAAGGGTTACTCAAGCAGCCCTCGAATTGCACCACCCTGGTTACGGCTATGATGACAACAAGAAACGACGGACCAAAGGTCCCGTCGCTTGGAGATGCGCAAACTTCGTGACAGGATGTGTTGAAAGCAAACACACTGAGTGTTCGGGTTGTTGTTGTTGTTGTTGTTGTTGTTGTTGTTGTTGTTGTTGTTGTTGTTGTTGTTGTTGTTGTTGTTGTTGTTTGTTGTTTGTATATTTAGAGTCGAAGAACAAACAGGCAAATTAGCCTGATCACATGATATCGACTAAAAAGGAGGATAAAGTATAAAAAGGCCAGTGAAGGTAATGATACTGAGTAGAGTGGGTAATGATACTGAGTAGAGTGGGTAATGAAGGTAATGATACTGAGTAGAGTGGGTAATGATACTGAGTAGAGTGGGTAATGATACTGAGTAGAGTGGGTAATGAAGGTAATGATACTGAGTAGAGTGGGTAATGATACTGAGTAGAGTGGGTAATAAAGTTTTATTCCCGTAGCTATGCAGAAGACGTTACTTCAGTAACGTCTGGCGCTAGCCAGGGTCCACACAGCTTTAATTTGGTATTTGTTTGTGTGTTTGTTTGTTTATTTGTGTCACGCCTGGCGCTATCCCGTATCTGACGGCAAAAAATCATAGGGATGTTATACATTTTTCAATTCTCCTATTTTTTTCAGGCATATCCTGGGATTCGAACCCGCACTATCGCCCTACATGCATTCCCCCATACACTTTGCATTCATACCCATTCTTCCAAGTTGCTTCACGTTATGATCTTGCGTTTGAAAGCCCTATTTGAATATTGCGGGCAGCTGTATGTGGCCAGCTGTGTTTGATGGTACGGTACGGGAGACAGTGTTGTACTACCCTCGATCGTACCTGTCCTAGGCCTTGACAGATTATGCTAGCATAATTTTTCGCATAATTCCTACCAAAATCGAATAATCGCATAATTCGAGGCAAATTGCATACGAATCGCATAAATTGGAATAATCCGCCTGTTCGCATCAAATTCCATACAGCTGTACATGTTCTACAAGTACAAGTACAAGTAGGTGCACCAGGAAGTCGTAGGTTTACGACTCCCTTGATAACATGTCCAGTCCACTACAATCAGTGACGGTCGTAGGTACAATTGTAGGTCGGATGGCGCGTTGACCCCGTTGAACTTTTGCTACTACAGTACAAAGCCCCATACAAAAAATCCCCCTGTTATTTTGCACAGAACCATCATACATTAGCAGCATATGTGAGCATAATGCGGCATAATATGATAACTTTTAGCATAAAAATAGCATAATTCTGCCATTTTTCAGCAATGCGAAAAGCATAATTTCACGAAACTATTAGCATAATCCGTCAAGGCCTAACCTGTCCCGTACCTAACCCTACCGTACCGTACCATCAAAGGCGGCTGGCCACAATGCATATTCAAATAGGGCTTTCAAATGCAAGATCATAACGTGAAGCAACTTAGAAGAATGGGTATGAATGCCAAGTGTATGGGGGAATGCATGTAGGGCGCGATAGTGCGGGTTTGAATCCCAGGTTATGTCTTAAAAAAAGGAATTTTTTAAAGAATTTATAACATCATTATGCTTTTTTTTGTCTAGGTCATCAAGGCAAAAAAGCATATCGTAGGGCCCTGAGCTTCCAAGCTCTCTCGTTAAGCCAGTTAGGCCAATAAAGGAAATGATAATACAGCGGGTAGTGGCATTACTGAAAAGGAGCATGTCCTGTGAGGGATGGTGCTGAGTCGAATAGTCTTTGTCCGAGGAAGCTGAGACTCTCCCTTCCTCCTTTATTCCCAATCGAACTTGCGCACTTCCACCGGAACTGGGTGACTGCACCCTACTAGATGGCGATTTGCATGCAAAATGTCACTAAAGCGCCGTTTGGTCCCTATGAAAGCACAAATGACCGCGATTGGCCCATATCTGGTAGTCTTTTGGACAATGAGTCGACTGGTTTTGGTCCGAAAAGACGGCGATACAGCGTTCGGCTCTTATTCCCAATCGAACATGGCTGAACAAGCGGTCATGTGCTCGTGCGTACACCAGTCACCTGGTCACCGTGCCTGCAGGCTACAGCTTACAGCATGTTTGGTCGAGTTTACGTCACTCGAGTCGAACCTTTGAACCTTTGAGTTGAAACTTGGTGTGAAAGTTGTCGCCTGCTGGCACGGTGACCAGGTGACTGGTGTACGCATGAGCACGTGACCGCTTGTTCAGCCATGTTCGATTGGGAATAAGGGCCGAATAGTACATCGCCGCCTTTTTCGACCAAAACCAATAGACTCAGCATCCAAAAGACTACAAAATATGGGCCAATTGCGGTAATTAGTGCTTTTATAAGAACGAAATGGCGTTTTTAGTGACATTTTGCATACAAATCGCCATCTAGTAGGGCGCAGTCACCCAGTTTCGGTGGAAGGGTGCGAGTTCGATTGGAAATAAAGGAGAAGGGAAATGTCTCAGCTTCCTCGGACCAAGACCATTCGACTCAGCACCCCGAAGACTATAACTGGTGACAATTTGATTTTAGGCTTTACTTCCCCGTTAATTGATGCAAGACACTATGCTTTATGTGCTTATTGGGCATGTTTCCTGAACCCTTCATGTACCACCCATCTAATGTATGTAAGGGGCGATCACAGCCAAAGAAGCAACCATGGTATGAAATCTAGACAACTTTTGTATAAGCAAGTTGTGTTTTCCTGACTCCAGATGTATCACTGCACCCAGGTAAGCATGGATATTGGTACGGCATGTAGTAGTATATGAAGGCCACAGGTGGAATACCCAAAATACGCGCCAATTGTGCATATTTCTGACCAACCAGGGTATCACAAACAAATAGACTGAGAATTAGTTTGTGCTCATGTACCCAGGGCCGGAGGCAGGTTCCGTGGAGCGGTGCGGCCGAAGGGCCATCTTTAAGGGCGGTCCGGGGTCCTCCTCCAGCATTTTTAGGAATTTAGACGGCAAATCCTGCACTCTAGGCGACTCCCTGTACAAAATCATACATCGAAACTTTTTCTCCCCGGTTTTGGACGTTCCACGTGGACCGACTTTTTGGGAAGTTGGTACGGCCATGGCCGTACCGGCTGTACCAGTGGCGCCGGCCCTGGTACCGGGAACATAGGGACAAAACAACTTCATAAGCGTTGTCTCAGTACATGAAGAGCAACAATATACCAGGGTTATGGTCATATTGTCACATATTTGAGGCGAACCAATTGGTTCAAAATTGCAAATTTTGAATTCTTGTGTCAGATTCGAAATCTGTATTTTTCTTCATCTACTCACATCCAGAGAATGAAGTTGAAGACATCACTGCAGCTGTACTTATGGTTGATAAATATGGTGGTAAAGACACACCTGGCAATATGGTGGTAAACACACGCCTGCCCACACAAGCTCTCTAGGCTGCAAAGTTCTGGCATAGAGCTCTCCTTCTCACCACCACCACCACCATCAGTTCGCACCTGGCGCCTGGTCGATGCATGGCTGGCGGTATCCGGCATAGCAGGCTGCTACATCAAGTAGCGCATGGCACATAGATGATGACACAGCAACGACATAGCTCGGTTGCGACGTACGTTTCGTCCCCGCTGGACTCATCAAGCAGTCTTCTTCTTGGATGTCTTCATACGGAGCTTGACTCGGGAGAATGAAGTTGAACACATCACTGCAGCTGTACTTATGGTTGATAAATATGGTGGTAAAGACACACCGGGCAATATGCCGGTAAACACACGCCTTTTCTATAGGACTTCGCGTGGGCAGCACGACAGCCTTTGTGGTTCAAATCAGACGCCGTTCTTTGCAAGATTTTATTTTGAACTACGACGACGACGACTCGTACAGTACTTGCAAATCTCCACGACGCGCTGGATACTCCGAGCATTGAGCTGGAGGTATAGGAGCTGCGATCTCAGCTTGAGCGATCACTGAGGTGAGCGATCTTGGCCGTTCAGCAAAATGGAGCTGATTCCGAGTAGCCGATTACTTTTTTGTGGCTTGCGCTGCTCTTACCTGCACAGCGTAACACGATTATCTATTTTGATGCGGCGCTGTATCAATCAGAATCACCTACCCATCGCTCTCGAAATCCACTCCAACTCTAGCTAGACCTTTCAGGTACTAGTAAACTAACTTGCTAACCAAAATTGGGATGAAATGGGCTGCCAAGTGAGCATTGGCGACATATAAACAAAGCTGAAAGATGAGCGACAACATCGCTGACGCGGACCAAGTAGTGGATCAGGTCATGCATAAAGCGCGATTGAACTCGTACTCAGCACGCAGAGGGTTAATTGATGCAAGACGCTATGCTATATGTGCTTATTGGGCATGTGTCCTTAAAACATTAGAAATACTCACGGATACAAGGATTCGTAAGCGTCGGTGTCCAATTACCATCAGTGCCACAAGATATGTTCTGTGGTGCCGTAGTATTAGCTGTATATCCAGAATCAGTATCACACATCACCGTGAGTTTACTTCCAGCTGTTGTTGGACTTCCAGTTGGGAATGTACCATGAGGTATATTGCCTGGTGGTGATCCACAGTCCCCTGTGTGTGCAGCGGATTAGAAATACAAAAATCATGATTAGTTACATATTATTAACCCCTTTATGCAGGGGAAAAAACTGTACGCACACTGAACTGTTTGATCTCGACTCGCATCAAATTCCAGCTCCGAACGAAATTTAATGTTGGGTTAGCTTTTGGGCTAACCCTAGTTAGCGATAAGACCGATGCGCTGCTCTCTATCTCATGCTAGCTGCGACCGAGCTGGCTTTACACGTGCACTCAACTGCTGCGCATGCGCGCCCAAATCGCCTTGGGTAGCTTTTGCTGCGCTGACTTTGGCTTGCGCTTTCCTTTGCAGTGTCACTGAGCAGCAACCGGAATTTGTTTGTTGAGAATAGAATTAATTATTCAGACTCCTTGTAGATTCCTCGCAGCCGTTTACTGCACGACAAACATGTTGTCTGCCTCTGAAGCACGCCGTATGAACGTGTCGGACTTGCGGGCCGAGCTGGAAGGCCGTGGGCTGAATTCGAGCGGAACAAAGCCCCAGCTTCTTGCCCGTTTGCTGCTCAGTATCCAGGACACGTCGAGCTCGGCGGCACGGGAACCTCGATCTCCGTCGGCCACGCCATCCTTGCGGCAGGAGCACGAGCAGGAGCACGAGCAGGATCTGGAGAGTGCTGCAGCAGCTTCTCCGACTCCCCAGATCCCGGACCGGAGCAGGAATGACGATTTGCGCCAGTTTGTGCGGCAGGAAGTACATTCCGCCGTCACCGTTGCCTTGTCGGAGGCGATCGCTCCAATGCTGGCCACCATCACTGCCCCTGGATCCGCTGGAACTCAACCTTCGGCTGAGTCTTCCAACGCTGGTAATCTCTCCGTTCCCCAGACTATACGAGAGAAAATATTGAAGGGTGACTTTGTAGATTTCACCCAGCTGCTGCCCGATACTATCGCCACCTCGTATTCTGCCCCACGCCAGCTTCAGCTGCAGTTCAGCAGTGGCGGCCAGTCTCTGGAGGTGGTGGAAGGTGGAGCGGCGCAGCCCGTTCGTCGACGCGTCCACGACTTGCCGACATGGCTGGAGGCATGGACTCTCTTCATGAACGTCGTGTGTTCTGCCAACCCGTCCCGCCTGCAGGAGATGCTCTCCTACCAAGCCACCATAGTTGCAGCCAACAGGCAATACTATCCGGAGGCTTGGCTGTCGTACGACACCCAGTTTCGCTCTGCCATTTCTGCTCAGCCAGGCAAGCGCTTTGACGTCATCGACATAAATATGTGGCAAATGTCCGTGACTAGCCGATCAAGGCCCACATGTGAGTCCTGCCGCCTCATCCAACCCGGAGGCGGCCAGTGTCCCTTTCGTCCGCAACGTAACAACCAGCACGCCTTCAATGGAGTCCGTACGGTGTCTAATGGCCAACCGATCTGCCGGAACTTCAACGCTGGGCGTTGCAGTCTCAGCACGTGCAAGTACGCCCATGTCTGCAACCGCTGCGGGTCCAAGGACCACAACGGATCTAAGTGCGGTAGGCACCAGTAACTCTGCTGCTTTGGCTGCAGCTCCCGCGATTGTACATATTTCTCCCTGCACTTCACGTTCTACTGATTTCACAAGCGCATGTCCTGCTGTCCACACACCCCTCTCTGTTTCTCGCTTCGAATCACTGCTCCGTAACCACCCTGACAGTTCATTGGCTTCGTATGTTATTAACGGCCTCCGCTGCGGCTTTGACATTGGCTTCACCGGCAACCGCATAACTAACCAGCACTCGTCCAACCTCTCATCAGCATTCCAGCACTTTGCATTTGTGTCTGCACAGCTCACCGCTTCCTGCAACGCCGGCTACACGGCTGGCCCATTTGACTCGCCCCCATTCCCATTTATGTACTGCTCTGGCATTGGCGCTGTTCCGAAAAAGAATGGCAAGCTACGCTTGATACACCACCTGTCCAGCCCTACCGGCTCCAGCGTTAACGACGGGATCCCTGCCGAGCCTTTCTCTTTGCAGTACATCAGCATTGATGAAGCCATTAACATCATTATGTCCTCCCCGTCTCCTGTCTATCTCTCTAAACTCGATGTGAAGAGTGCTTTTCGTCAAATACCTGTCCGCCCACAGGATTGGCATCTCATCGGCATCCTGTGGCAGGGGAAGTACTACTACGACCGTGTCTTGCCATTTGGGCTCCGCTCTAGCCCGGCGGTATTTGATGCAGTGGCAGCCACCATCGAATGGATAATGCACCACGAATTCTCCATCCCTAATTTGCTGCATTTCCTGGACACTTACTTGTGCGTGAGCGTGGGCCAGGCAGTGGCGAATCGGCAGCTGGCCATTCTTCTCCGTGCATTCTCATACCTCGGAGTCCCGCTCGCGCCTGCAAAGGTGGAAGGCCCGTCTCGTACCCTGACATTCCTGGGCATTATCCTGGATTGTGAGAAGATGGAAGCCCGGCTCCCTGACGACAAATTGGCCGACATCTAGCGCCTGTTGACTGCAGCGAGCATCAACCCCACCATGTCTCAGCGTGAACTCGAATCTCTTCTGGGGAAACTCTCCTTCGCTGCAAGAGTCATCGTACCCGGCCGGACATTTATGCGGCGCCTGTGGTCTATTTGCAGTCGCTACCAGCAGCCTCACTACCGCATCAGTCTGACTACCGAGTGCCAGGAAGATATCCAATGCTGGCTACGGCTCCTGGAACAATGGAACGGAAAATCATTCTTCCTGTTCCCAGATTGGACACCATCTCCGGACTTGGAGCTGTTCACTGATGCCAGTGGCACCCTGGGCTGGGGCGCATTCAACAGCGGCCGCTGGCTTCAAGGGACCTGGTCGCCTGAGCAACTCACTCACAGCATTGAGTGGAAGGAGCTCTACGCGTTGGTCACAGCGTGCTGCACGTGGGCCAAGGAATGGCGCCAGCTTTGTATCACAATGCACTGCGAAAACAAGGCTGTGGTAGATTGCATCCGCTCCGGCACATCCAAGTCACCGCCAGTGATGACCCTGATCAGGGAGCTGTTCTTTGTGTGCGCCCGCTTCAATTTCACCGTCACTGCTGCTCACATTGCTGGCCAGTCTAACTGCATTGCCGATTCGCTGTCTCGTTTCCGCATGGAGGAATTCCGACGTCTCGCCCCAGCTGCTCAAGCACAACCAGACCGAGCAGTGCTGCCATCCCAGTCGATGTAATATAGCCTTGACATACAGGTACCGATTGTCATTGCTAAATTGCCGTATTGAGAACCTGCGTTGGATTTCATCCATCTGCATGCCTACCTTTATCCATCTCGTGCCTTAATCACTTGTTCTTAGCTCTCGTGCATTGGTGGTGAACGCTTGCTGGGGTGCCGTGTGCTGGTTTTCTGGGAACAGCTTCCTTCAACTGGTTGCTTTGCTGCTACTATCTCTGCTTAAAATTGCATACTATTGGTCGGCTGTTTGCGACGTCAATCAGTAGTCATTGCACCCGGTCGCGGGTACTATTGCCGCTCAAGCATGAGCGATTGCTTTGGCTGTTTGCAACGCCAACTGCTTCACCCTGGTTGGCTGTTTGCAACGTCGATCAGGGAACTTTGCACCCGGTCGCGGGTACTGCTGCAGCTCAGTCGTGAGCGATCACTTTGGCTGTTTGCAACGCCAATCGCTTCACCAGTTGATCGAAACCAGCACACTGGTGTACCCCAATCATCCTTGTGCGGTGTTGTGAGAATACGTGGGTATGCATGCAGCTTTGCTCTGTGACTTTCCATTGCATGTAGTCACTTGGCTCTCCCATTTCCTATACACTGCTCTGATGCATTCGGGTGCAAGCGCTAAATGTTGGGTTAGCTTTTGGGCTAACCCTAGTTAGCGATAAGACCGATGCGCTGCTCTCTATCTCATGCTAGCTGCGACCGAGCTGGCTTTACACGTGCACTCAACTGCTGCGCATGCGCGCCCAAATCGCCTTGGGTAGCTTTTGCTGCGCTGACTTTGGCTTGCGCTTTCCTTTGCAGTGTCACTGAGCAGCAACCGGAATTTGTTTGCCACCCACCCTCCCATTCCCACATTATATAGGTGGGAACAGCTTCCTTCAACTGGTTGCTTTGCTGCTACTATCTCTGCTTAAAATTGCATACTATTGGTCGGCTGTTTGCGACGCCAATCAGTAGTCATTGCACCCGGTCGCGGGTACTATTGCCGCTCAAGCATGAGCGATTGCTTTGGCCGTTTGCAACGCCAACTGCTTCACCCTGGTTGGCTGTTTGCAACGTCGATCAGGGAACTTTGCACCCGGTCGCGGGTACTGCTGCAGCTCAGTCGTGAGCGATCACTTTGGCTGTTTGCAACGCCAATCGCTTCACCAGTTGATCGAAACCAGCACACTGGTGTACCCCAATCATCCTTGTGCGGTGTTGTGAGAATACGTGGGTATGCATGCAGCTTTGCTCTGTGACTTTCCATTGCATGTAGTCACTTGGCTCTCCCATTTCCTATACACTGCTCTGATGCATTCGGGTGCAAGCGCTAATTCTCATTTCACTCCACCTTGATGGATTTTTATCATCCTGGGCTCGTTGTAAAGATCAGGAGCAAGCGAATCCATCCTGGCAGCTCTCAGCTCCATAACGTTAGACACATCAGGGCCACTTCCACATCCTCTCCAAACTACTCCACCGTGCCTCGGAACGGCACAACAACTCAATTTCACATTCTTGTTCGGCTTCTTGCCCAAATTCAACCGATTTTCACAATTCAAACTGCGCTGCAAAGCTGAGATCCAAGCGCTTCATTTGATGTCCATCACGCATGCGCCGTGCCAAAGGTAAATCCCCTGGCACGCTCCTCAACAAAAAGGAGTTTTGAACAAAATAATTCGCTTTCCTTCTGGCCCGTGATTTCCGTGTTCATCTTCTTGCCGCTCAATGAATTCTTATCCTATCGCGACAAACCTTATATCTCTGGACAGATGAGGTCAAGACCTTTCCAACTGTGTACTGACTGTCGCGATGCGTTTATGTTTGACAAAATTACGTCAGTTTGTAC